AGCTGGCATAATTTAGTAATTAAATTGCTACTCCAATATGTACCTTCTACCTGAACTGGGGCCAATAGGAAGGGTCTATTGTGGCAGCAAGATTCTTAAGATGGAACTCAAAACAGGGTTCCTGCTTGAGTAACAGGAGGAACAGTATGAATAGTTATAATGTCCCATGGTCACTCAAAGAAAATGTACACTATGTGTTTGTATCCACACACATGCAGCTGTGTTCATCCAGTAAAAAATGATATTCTAAAGGTGAAATGGAATGATTGAGTGTAGCATGAGTGGGTATAAATAGTAAATTCTTTTCAATTTTTGGCTCAAAGGTTGTGTGAAAGAATATATGTGTGTCACACACATACACTGGTGCCTGAGTAAATTCAGGTTTTAGAGTCCAGAAAGTTGAATAAAAATGAGAAAGATATGTGTATGTGTACTTTCACAAATTTATGTTCTAAGGTTGAGAGAGTTATATAGAAATGAGATTGACTTCCCAATACTTTTAAGTGTTCTATATTTTCCATTTTTTATCTGTTCCTAGTTTTCCCTCCCCTTCTTCCATATTTTCATTTAATTTTTTTCAGAATGGGTAGGAGTGTATAATAAAATATTTATCTTTTATTTTCAGAGAGAGAAATCTTTATTTTGGTTCAGTCATCCATGTCCGTAATGGATTCAAAATTGATTTAAATTCAGTTAAACAGAATTAGCTATTTACAAAGTACGAGACTTTTACTAAACACTAAATATAAAAGTCACATCAAAGAACAGTTTCATTTCTGGTAAATGTAAAAACAGTATATGTATATACACACATATACATATATTTATATGCATATATATGATGCACACTTTTTTTTTAAATAGAAAATGCTCGCAAAACAAGTAAATAAACTACATGAAAACAAACAAATACCTGGACATTCTGATGTTGCACAGTTCCAAAACTGGTTGTTACAGGAGGGCACTCAATCTATTAAGGACCAGGAACGATTAATAAGGCACAGGTAAGATTAAAGTTAATGCATATTTTATGTATATATGTGAACCCAAATAAGTTGAAAAAAACTTGAAAAAAGGTTGAAAAATTGAAGTTAGGATTTTTTTTTTAAAGTCCTAGACACTATTTAACTCCATTATTGCCCTCAGTATAGAGAGAAAGAGAGACCAAGAAGTATAGGAATAGAGAACTTTTGTGTCAAGGCTAAAAAGAGCAATTTCTACCAGAAAATACAGGGTTGCTGGTAGACTAGGAGGTACTCCAAACTGATAACTGAAGAGTGAATCAGATCCAAAATCTTTCCTATAGTTGGAGATGAAGGGAACATATCTTTTAGCACATGCCTCTAGCAATAGCTTTTCATGATTCTTCTTTAAGGGCTGACAGCATTGTTTGAGGAACTTAGTGCAAAGTAAAAAATGAAGGTTTGATATAACTTTATCTAATGCCAATATAAATATGCATTGTCCTTAAAAGAAAATGTGTAAGCTCTTCAGATATTAACTACTTATGTTCAATCATTACCATTCTGTGGTCAAGGCCATTTCTTAGGCAGTAAAGGGATATATTATAGTTCTTTTTCATTCATTAAGGTGAGGGATCAGGCTGCACAAGCCTGACTTTTTTATATTCCATGGTTTCATTTTATGGTAGCTCCATAATGTACATTGACACACCAGAGACCCAGACTACAGGTAGATTTGTTCAAGACTTTGTAAATTATGCAAGACTCAGTACACATCTTATCTTAGGAAATTCAAATCTTTGTTTTTCTAGATTTGAAGTCAATGTTTTAGTTATTTCAATTTTCTTTGCAAACTCATATTTCTAAACCTTCTGAGTTATTAATACTTACAGTGCAAAATCTTTTTAATGAGTCTGCTCTACATTGTTACCATTGTACTTATATGGTAGGGAGATCTATATAACAAGTAAAACATGGTGAGAGCTAGCTTTCAGGTCCATAAACAGAGCTGATGGAAATGATAAACTTCCCATAATTCAAGAAATAAAAAGCAAGCAAGGAAGTGGTTGGAGCATATCAAAGCAGGTAATGTCATTATAAGGGAAACACCCAATTCACCTTCACTTGCATTTGCACTTTTAATTAGATATTTGGATATGATAAGTAGGGAATTAGAACAACGTGAGCGCAACGCGGAAGAGCAACACCTACTCCAGATGGACAGAGAAGAAAGACGACAGCGGGAAGACACAAGAAGAAAACTAAGTCTTCGCAGAAAAATTGAAGAGGTGAGAGATAAACTTAAAATATTGAGAGAAAAATTGTGTACAGTTGTTTCATTTGTAAATAATTTTTGCTGTCCACTATGCTTTTTTATTAAAATTATTGAGGTGACATTACTTAATAAAATAAGGTTCAAATGCACAGTTGAACAGTATGTCATATATATATTGCATTTTGTGTTCACCTCCCAAAGTTATATTTCCTTCTGTCATCAAATTTTGATTCTTTTTACCCCTATCTACCTCCCCCTTCCCCCACTTCTCTCTGGTAACCACTAATCCACAGTCCATGTCTATGAGTCTCTGTTTGTTTGTCATGTTTGTGTCCATCATATTTCTTGAAGTCATTTCAGGTCTACATAATTTACCCACATTAATCTTACTTCGCAGCTATACTACATAAGTTATATAAAATAATGAAGCTGACACCACAGATCATATATATAAGCTAACATTTACTCTTAAAGAGATGATTGTGAAAGTTATTAGACAATAACTCCTCTATAGCCCTCAGAGTGGAAAGGTCAATTATTTTAAACTTAGCCTTAGTAAAAAATAACCATGCCTACATAGGAGTGTAGCATGGAAAGCCCATTTAAAAGCCAATGTATAACTGTCATTATGCTTGACCTGATTTCTGTTAGGCCCTTCACTTCTAATTTGTTTGATGGTGGTGGACAAAATACAAAAGTTTATTGTAAACACTAAGTATACTAATATCTTGCTCTCTAGGAGTGGAAGACAAAAGAGATGTTACTTCTGACAAAGATTGGAGAAGATGTTAAAAGAGAAGCTAGGATAGAGGAACAACGACGTAGAAGCAGAGAAGAGAGTGACAAGAAGGTAGGTTTAACATTAACCTCTAATTTAAGATGTTAGTGTTAAAGCTTCTGATAGTTTGGATTTTTGAGAGTATACTATGTAAGATGACGATGGACCAGTTATCCCAAATGATATACTTTATACAAAACTAAAAGTTATTAAAATTTTTACTATATTTTGACCATATTACACTCTGGCTATAAAAAGTACTGCCCTATTTTTTGATATAACTACTTTTGATTTTATCTTACATCATAAACTATACTTATAATTCCTATAGAAAAAAATGACATAACTTATTTTTTCCTTAGAATCAGAATTTCTTTGAAAAAGTTCTCAATTTTTCCCCACCAGTTAATTTTTTAAAGTTACTGCTTTTAATTTTACATAATATATAATATTTTATGATATAGAGTCTAAATCAGTATAAAGAGAAAATCATTTGTAACCCTAGCATCACCTTATTAATTTATTGGTACACATACGCACACATATATACACTTGCATAATATTCCTATGAATGTTTATTATTCCAAGAAATAAGTAAAATCATGTTATTATATTTCATATATTATTTTGTGGATTGCTTTTTCATTTAATAAAATAACATTGACAACTTTCTATATCAATATATATTGGTTTAAAATTCTAAATAATCATCTTAGGTAGTTTATTTTTGACAAACCTAGATGTAAGTGTTAAGATTTACATAATTTGATTATATTTATATATACTGCCATATAGTAAGATTTTTAAATATTAGAAAGTGAAATATGTATGATAATTTTTTATTCTACTTTTGTTACGTGTGCCTTTTAGTATTGTTAGGTACTCACTGCTTATATGGTAAGCTCAGCTTATTCTAATTTTCTGTAATTATTATTTTCTAATATTTAATTTTTCACCACTGTTCTTCAGTTGGGGTTCTCTTCAAGTTGGCCTTTTTTGCTTGCAGATATCTCTGAAAATACCTTTGTTTCTGGAGAGCGAAAAAGTAGCCTAAGTTTCCTCTTAATTTTTGCCTGATGCCAATAACTATTCAATGAATACTGGCCAATTTTAGTGGCAACTAGTACAACGGATTAAATCTGGGCACTGGAAGTGCCGGTTAGACGTGACAATGGATGGGAGGCATGGTAACACCATAAGCTGCCTAAACCATGTTAATGGTAGAGCTATTTGAAGTATTGACATTTCCAATGGAGTCATTCTAAATTATCCTTTTTAAAATCATGTTTTAATACAAGAGGTTTTCAATTCCTTTGTGTGTGTTTCTTAATTTTTTTATCTTGTTTTTTCAGATTTGACATTATATGTATTTTTACTTAAATTGTTAGCTTAAATTACTGTTATAAAAATCTTTAAAAGATTTTACCTTTGCATTTTTGTCAAAACTCAGTTCTATCATTCTATTTTGGACTCTTTTTGTTTTCTTTGAACTATTTGTCTATCTTACTGTATTGATTAAAGTATCTTTAATAATTCTTTAAATCAATAATACTAGTCTTCTAAGTTTGTTCTTCATTTTCAAAGTTGTTTTGGCTAATCTAAGCCCTTTAACATTTCCATATAAATTTTAGAATCAGCTTATCAATTTCTACCAAGAAATTGTGCTGAAATTTTTATTAGAATTGTGTTTATAGATAAGTTTAAGCATGATTATTCTCTTGATAATACTGTTTTCCAACTCATGAACCAAATATGTCTCTCCATTTATTTAGGTTTCCTTAACTTTCCTTATCAATGTTACATAGTTTGCAGTTACAGGTTCTTATATATCTTTTTGATAGATTCATCCTTAAATTTTTCATAATTTTTATTCTATTATAATTTATATATTTTTTATTTTGAATTCTGATTATTTGATGTTAGTATATAGAAAAGCAATTTTTATACTTATTTTGTATTCTGCATTGTTAAAACCACTTAATAGTTCTAGTTTTTTTCCAGATACCAATTGATATTCTACACAAATGATCATATTGTCTGTAAATAAAGGTAGTTTTATTTCTTCTCTTCAAAATCTCTTCTCTTCTCTTTTTATTTCCTTCTTTGCCTGATTGCACTGACTAGAACCTCTATTGTAATATAGAGTAGAAGCACTGATAGTGAACATTATTATCAAATATTTCGTTTGTCCCCTCTCTCCTCTCTGCAAACATATTAGGCTGCTTAATGTTTTCCTACATCTCACAGATGTTCTTTTCATTTTGTAATTTTTTTTTTCTCTCAGTGTTTTCTTTTTGGATGGTTTCTGTTCCTGAATAGACATTAATTTTTTTTTGCAATGTCTACTCTACCATTAATGTATCCATTGTATTACTCATTTAACACATTTAAGAAATTGATTTTAGTCTTCTTTATATCTTTCATGTCTCTGCCTTGTGAATATGTAGAATGCAGTTATATTATCTGTTTTAATGTTCTTTAATTCTAACATTTGTGTCATTTTGGGGTCAATTTACATTGATTAATTTTTTTCATTTTATGAATCATATTCCCCTGCTTCTTTATATGCTTTGTGTTCTTTCATTGGATGCCAGATATCATGAATTTTACTTTTTGAGTGCTGAATATTTTTATATTCTTATAAATATTTTTGCTTTTTTCTTGGATGTAGATAATTTATTTGGAAACAGTTCGATTGTTATGGGTCTTGCTTTTTAAAATAAATTAATTAATTTTATTTTTTAGGTGAGGCAACCCTTGGTTGACCTCACAGATTGCAAGGACCTTGTCAACTTACAATCCCTTATTTTTTATTTTTTACACCTATAGCATCTGATCTTTCTAGGTGATCTCCCATCCAAGTACTAACCGGGCCTGACCCTGCTTAGCTTCTGAGATCAGACGGGATCGGGCTTGTTCAGGGTAGCATGGCTATAGATGGTCTTATTTTTTTTTTTAATTGATATATAATTTGTGTTTGTTTTTTCTTTTTTGTGAATTTTATTTTTAATTATAGCCGATATACAATATTATGTCAATTTCTGGTGTTAATGTAATGATTAGATATTAAATATCTTATGACGTGATCACCAGGATAAGTCTAGCAACCATCTATCACCATACATAGTTGCAATATATATATGCCTTACTGTTGAATTGTACACCTAAAACTTACTGGATTTAGTTAATCAAGGTCTTGCTTTTTAAGATTTGATAGATGGGGCCAGAACTATGTTTAATCTTGGACTAATTATTCTTCACTACTGAAACAAGACTCGCTTTAGTACTCTATCCAATGCCCTGTGACTTACAAAATCTTTCCAGAGTGGCTGGTGAGAATAGACAAGATAGGTCAGTGCTGAGCATTGTTCTCTGTGATCCTTTAAGATGGTCTGTTCTGTGACTTTGGGTAGCATGCATGTACTGATCGATTCTCTTGCTGAATACCATAGGGAAACATCTGCGGATTTCTGGGTTTTTTTCTCTATGCAAACAAATGCATTCTGGTACATCTAAGAATGACGTGAGTCCAGGGATTCACAAAAGGAAGTCACATTTCATGTATTATACTATGTTTGCGTATAGTAGCCCTGAGTGACTTGTGGTTCAGTCACTCAAGAATCTTCCACCTGAAGATGATTTAGAAATTCCCTAAACTCACCAGGATAGCTATGGATGTAGAGACCCTTTTTGACCTGAAACTAGACTAGTTCTCCAAATGTGTGCAGTGAAGTAAATTGCATCTATGTGTTAAATATAGTCTTCATGTTTGACCACAAATGGAAATTTCTGCCCAGTATAACCTTACAAGTCACAAGGCAAGAATGACTGTTCCTTTCCAATATACTATCGTATTATAAATATTTATTTGCATTTCTAAATAGCAAGTTGATGTTAACCAATATATTTTCTTTAATATTTCAGAAACAAGCCTTTCTAGAGAAAAGAATGGCTTATCATTTACAAAAAATGCAAGAAAATGGCTTTAAAAGAGAAGAGATGGGAAAAAATACATTTGATTACAGAGAACAAGACAGAACACCTAGTGAATGTAAGAACATTAGAAGCTGATATAGCTATGTTGAAAGTGCTTATCTATGTATTTATAAAAAAAACAAACAAACTCTCTTATAAAACTTTGTTTGTTTACACTTACTACCAGCTTTGTATGAGGCACAGTTCTAGGTTTTTGCTTATTACAGTTCAAGTTGAAAAGTAAACATATATGTAAAAATTAAAACAAGCTAAAATAATTCTATCAAGTTCTTTAGTGGACAAGCTTGCCTATACTGCAATTTTAATCAACTTCCTTATATTTAAAATAATGGATTTTTAGCTACCAAACCTTAAAAAAGTTATGTGGAATATAATTGCTATTATATACCAACATAGCATTCTGCTATGTAGTCAGCCAGAAAGAATAGTTGGTACCAGAGAAAAATAAAGTAAAGAAGAAAAAGAAGAGTTAAAAGAAAAAAGAAAGAAGTAAAGGAAATGAAGACAGTTTAAAAGAGGAATATCAAATCATGAATTTGCGATGCTCAATGTCTACCAGTTTCTTTTTATTTATAACATTATAAGATTATAGTGGGCTTTATTAAATTAAATTGATGATAGTAATTAAAAGTTCATGGCTGGAATGCAAAAATATAGACTTGTGTTAATTGTCTATGACTATGTACTATTAAGAAAAAACATGATCATTTTCCATGCAGTTATCATCACAGGATCCCATCAGTCCTATCCCTGTCCCATTAATCCTGCTTCTAGGAAAGAACCTACACATTTCACTTGAAGAGATTATCATCTAGTCTCCACTGGCTCTTATTTTTACTTACCACAAATCCATTTTTTAAATTGCTACCTAATTACACTTAAAACTCTGTTCTGATGATTTTCTTCTCCTGGACCAAAATCTTAAATATCTGAAGCTCAGACTTCTTAGGCAACCATTCATTCCATCTAGAGTCCAACCCAGACCTAACTATTTGACTTTATTTCACACTACCTCCTTGAATAAAAGCAGCTATAATCTAGGGGTGATGTGCACACTCTCTTGCGCCAAACTGCTAAAGTCCAAGTCCCACTTTACCATTTTCTAGCTGTGTAAATAGCTTAGACAAATTACGTAACCTCCCTGAGCCACAGTTTCATCATCAGAAAACAAAGATAATTTTCCTTAATAATTCCCCTAAAGAGCCAAAAATTCTAGCCCATAGTAAGTACTCAATTTATTCATTGTCCAGTCAAATGAGACTACTGACCATTCCTAAAACACAAATTACCTTTCATACTTCTATGCCTTCCTTTATTTAATTTTCTTAAACTGGAATGACATGTTCACTGTCCTTCTATCCAAATCTGACAATTCTTGGTCTACGGCCATGCCACCCTGAACAAGCCTGATCCCATCTAATCTCAGAAGCTAAGCAGGATCGAGCCTGGTTAGTACTTGGATAGGAGACCACCTAGGAAGACCAGGTGCTGTAGGCATAAAAAATTTAAAAATTAGGAATTGTAAGCTGACAAGGTCCTTGCAATCTATGAGGTCAACCAAGGGTCGCCTCACCTAAAAAAATATAAAATAAAATCTGACAATTCTTTAAGCTCCTCTGTAAATGAAACTCCACAAAGACTTTCTTAGTAACCCTAATTCTCTCCTTTGAATCCATATAGTGCTTTGTGTCATTCTTAATACACTTATTAAATACTTCCACCCATAATATTTTTAACTACCACTTTCGTGTTTCACAGAGCACCTAGTACTATATGTATGTATGTATGTATGTATGTATGTACAGACTAAATATATGCTTGCTGAGAGAACTAATTCGATCTATTCAGCTCACTGAGATAATGACAGCAATCTCATGCTTCAGAAATTACTTCAGTAACTATATACATCTTCAACTGTTAACTTTCTCATTTAATAGGAAAAGAATTTCAAGTATATATTTTGAATATTTGTTACCTAAAATCCCCCTCTTTTGAAGAAATAGAATGTAAGTGAATTTAATTTGCATTGTCAATTAACAAGAATATGAACATCTATTTCATAAATGAAATTTAACTATACCTCCATGGTAATGTTGTCATCTTCCACGAAGCAGATGGCTTCCAGAGGAACACAGAGAATGAGAGGAAGGGACTATCAAATGAATCTGCTCCAGTGGGGAGATAGACCACTTTTTCACATTTTACATCTCTAATGAAAAAATCATTCAGCACACATGCGTGAGGATCCTTACCTCCTAAATGGTTGGACACACGAACTATATAATCACCTCTATCATGAAGGAGAGATATGAATTTGATTGATTATGCTAGGCTGTAGGACACATCCAAGAATTGTAATAGTCACTGTTGACTGATACACCCAGCCAGTAGCTATGTTGGTACGCATCCCCACAGACAGAAAATGACATTTACAGTAGAGCTGGGTGTAGCTTTTTCTCTCTGCCAGAAAAAATTTCTGTCCCTCCAAGAATATTGTTTAACTTAAAGGGATAATATTTCAAGAGGAAGTATCTTTCTTTCCATTTCACATCTCTCCATCTTCTCTAATACTTCCCACAATCCCACATACAAATTAACATATGGCATAATTCCTCTCGGGCATGAAAAGATAGTCTATATTGGGTAATTCTGTCATCACCATTACTAAAAATAAATGTTTTATTACATTTCTTTAAGATCCTTCTCTAAAGAAGAAAAAGAAGATTTATGATGATATAAAATTAATTTATCCTGTTGGTGACCAGAAAGCAAATAAAGGAGTACATGGTAATTAAATATTGTGATAAGGAATATTAAATAGAATTTAGGAAAAGACTGAGTTTAGACAGCCTCTTTTGCTTCTGTTATTAAATGACTGATTAAGAGTGATGCTTAACAACAATGATGCAACCTCTATTGCTTTCAGAATTTGATCTCTAGTTATTGATTTAGCATTTTAAACTTAACATTGTATCATCATTTTAGAAAAATTAAATGAAGGGTCTATTTCTGTTAAATGAGTAGTATATGAAAACTTACAAATTGCCAAATAATTTTATAATGTTCATAATGTTTTTAGAAAACTCTAAATAGGTCAGAAAGTATGTTAACTCTAAAATTACCATGAGCCCTATTGAAATTATCACTTTATTCTTTATCTCATATTATCTCATACTGTGTTACTTTATGTTATCTATTACAGCTCACTGGATTAAATGAGAAACTCAAATGATAGCATAAAAATCCTCCGAATATAATACTATCAAAAGTATAAGCCTATTTAAAGTTGAACAATATGAAACTCCTCCCACTATTAAATTTTTGGGGAAAAATTAAAGTATGAATATTAAATTCTTTTGTCCTTATCAGTTAAAATCTAAAGAAAAGAAGTCCAAAATCTTTCCTCTCTGAGTGTGTAATTTAATTAGTCAGTCTCATCAAGGAACAGAAACCTGGGGAGGGACAGGGTTGACTTAGCTGAAGCTGTCTTTTACTCTGAGGACCAGTGAGGTTGAGTTCATTCAACTATAAACTTTATGGATCCTATTTTTAAAGTCCAAAGAATTTTGTATAACACACTAAAGGGTTCTTACAACACACACAATTATGACAATACCAGCCCCACATCTACTAAAATGTAGACAATAAAACTAAATTCTTAGTTTCTAAATTAGTTATCACAGAAGATCACAGAATAATCTTCTAAAACTCTAATGTTTAATGCAGCACAGACTGGTCTTACTGATATCAAAAAACCTCAGTGGTATGGGAAGAAAGGATGGTAGATGGAAAATATTGTTTTCAGCCTCACCAGGTTAGCAGTCTATCTGTAACAACTATCCAGAGATCAGACCTATACAATAAAGCATAGTTGGGAAACATATTCTGTTAAAAGATGAATTCTGAAACTATACTGGTATGTAGAGGGAAGGAGGATTATATCTATATCTATCCTCCACTCTAAGAGAGTTGCATGCAAATCATTTCTTTTTTATGAATTTTAGAAATGTTCAGTAGTGGCATCACGTTAGGTATTATAAGTTCTCCTCTTTCTCATTCATCATCAAAACTTCCTAGTTTCCATTTTATCATTGAACCTTGAGTATGAGCTCTGTACAGTGTCATAGCTTTTACTCTTTTTTGGGCAGTTTGCTCTACATTTTGTAGTTAGCAACTCTCAAGCCGTGTTCAGGGCCCTAAATTTCCTATAATCTTTGCTTCTAATTTTTTCTCTGTACTTTTTCATTCTCAAAAAAATATCCTGAAGTATTTATTTTGTTTTTTAAATTACACTAAAAGTAAATAAATTTTTTGTACAAGTGCATGAATTTTAACATATGTATGGATTTGTGTTACCTTTACCATAATCATATAAGAACTGTTCCAACATACTACAAATTTAATTTTGCAGCCACACCTCCCTCTCTCCCACTAGTAACCCCAGGTACCACTGACATGTTCTCCATCATTATAGTTCCCCCCACCCCCTTTAGACAATGTCTTATAAATGAAATCATATGGTATTTGACCTTTGGATAATAACTTATTTCACTAAGCATAATACTTTTGAAATTTATTCAAGTTATTGTACGTGTCAGTAGTTTACTTCTTTTTATTGCTGAGTAGTATGCCATTGTATGTATGCACCGGATTTGTTTATTCAGTCACCAGCTAGAGGAAGTTTGGGTCATTTCCAGGTTTTGGTGATTATGAATAGAAAGATAAGCAGTATTTGTATTAGGTATTTTGTGTGAACAAGGGATTGTTGGGTCATATGAATAGTGTATGTTAAAGTTTATAAAGAACTGCTCAACTGTTTTCCACAGTGGCTATAACATTTTGCATTCCCATCGGTAATCCATTTGCTATGCATTCTTGCAACCATTGGTATTATCAGTAACTTTTGTTTTAGCCATTCTAGTAGATGTAGTGGTATCTCATTGTGGCTTTCATTTGCATTTCTTTGATGACTAATGATGATGACTATCTATTAATATAAATATGCTGTTTGCCTTTCCTAAATACTGCTTGATGAAGTATCTGTTGAAGATTTTTGCTTATTTTTAATTAGATAGCTTTCCGACTGTTGAGTTTGGGGAGTTATTTATGCATTTTGTATACAAGTCTTTTTGAGATATGTGACTTGCTTTTTCATTTTCTGTTTCATTGATCAATCTATGTGTTTATCCTCTACTAATACTGCAGTGTCTTGATTATTGTAGATTGTTATTGTCTTAAAATCAAGTATAATTCTACCAACTTTATTTTTTCTTTAAAAATGTATGTCTATTTTAATTCATTTGCCTTTTTCATATGAATTTTATAATCAGCTTGTCTATAAAAATTATACTGGGATTTTTGAATGGAGTACATTAAATCGATCTCTAGATCAATTTTAGGAGAAAAAGAAATCTTTACTATACAGAATCTTCTAATCCACAAACATGTTATCTCTTTATTTAGGATGTCCTTGATTTCTTTCATACATGTTTTGTAGATTTCAGCATAAAGATCTTATATATGTTGTGTTATATTTATATATAACTACTTCGTTTTTAGTAATGTCATACATGGTATTTTTAAAACTTGGTTTCTAATTGTCCGTGTCTATTGCTTTTATGTCTCTTTGTACAGATTTTTAGTGATTGTTCTACATAACAATGTATTTAGTTAGCCTTTCACAATCATGAATTAATATTTTACTCTTTCAGTGGAGTGTGGAAACCTTACCACTATATATGTCTTCTTATCCCTCTCACCTTTATTATAGTTGTGTTAAGTATCATATCTATATATATCAAACAACTGCTTAGAGAATATAATAAATTTTATTTTAAATAACTAAACGGGGGAAGAATAGTCTATCATATCTATTCGAATAGTTATCACTTTAGTTGCTCTTTAATTCTTGATGTGTCCCAGGTTTTTTTCTGTTCCTTTCTTTCTTCAGTCTATGGAACTTCCCATAACATCTCTTTTAGAACAGATTTTCTGGCACTGAATTATCTTAGTTTTCTTTCATCTAAGACTATCTTTATTTTACCTTCATTCCTGAAAGTAAAATATAGAATTGTAAGTTGACAGGGATTTTTTTTTTTCCCCAGATCTTTAAAAATTTTGCTCCACATCATTGTCTTTTGATGAGATAACTGCAGTATTTGAATTGTTGATCCTCTATTAATAATGTGACATTTTTCTCTAGTGGTTAAGATGTTTTGTGTGTGTGAGGAGACAATTTTCAGCACTTCAACTATGATATGTATCTTGAGATATATTTCTTTGTTTTTGTTTTTCCTTCCTTTAACATCCGCTGGGTTTCTATAACTGTTTTATCTTTTGCCAAATTCCCCTTAAGCAGATCTCCTTCTTCCACAAAGAGAACTACTATTTAAATCTGATGATTGTCATAACCATTATGTTTAAAATATATTTACTACATGAGTGTATATTTTTAAACTACATATGTACATATAGACATATATGTATAGATGCCATTATTAAGATATTTTACTGTAACTGATATGCTATTGTATCCAGTCTTATGTGGCTTGTTTTTCATACTCAGCTTTGTTTCAGAAGCTTTATCTATGTGCTGCCTGACACTTTACTTCATTCCATTACTGATCCTATCCCATTATGTGAATATACCACAATTTATACATCTGGTTTTCTGTTGATGGAAGTGTTTATTAGTTGAATAATCTTTCACTGAACATTCTTGTACATATATAACTCCTGGCACTTGTGGACAAGAGATTCTCTAGGTGTTATATTCATAGATATAGGATTTCTAAGTCACGTTTCCTCTTCTGAGAAATTGTATTTTCATTTTATATGTTCATTTTCCTACTGGGATGTTTTTATTATGGATTTGAAAGATTTTTCCTAACCATTATGTTTAAAATATATTTACTACATGAGTGTATATTTTTAAACTACATATGTACATATAGACATATATGTATAGATGCCATTATTAAGATATTTTACTGTAACTGATATGCTATTGTATTCAGTCTTATGTGGCTTGTTTTTCAGCTTTGTTTCAGAAGCTTTATCTATGTGCTGCCTGACACTTTACTTCATTCCATTACTGATCCTATCCCATTATGTGAATATACCACAATTTATACATCTGGTTTTCTGTTGATGGAAGTGTTTATTAGTTGAATAATCTTTCACTGAACATTCTTGTACATATATAACTCCTGGCACTTGTGGACAAGAGATTCTCTAGGTGTTATATTCATAGATATAGGATTTCTAAGTCACGTTTCCTCTTCTGAGAAATTGTATTTTCATTTTATATGTTCATTTTCCTACTGGGATGTTTTTATTATGGATTTGAAAGATTTTTCTTAATCATACTAAACATTCATTATTACATATGTATATATCATACAGCAAATTTCTTCCAACTTGTGATTTGTTTTTATTCTTTATTTTTATCATTTGATGTACAGAAGTTCTTTATTCAATGAAATAAAATTATATATTTTTTCTTCATGGTTTGCATATTTTGTTACTTTTTATTTGAGGTCAGTTCGTATGAGTTCTCTTTGATAAGGCAAAGGCATTAATATTTTGTCTTATTTATGAGGCAAATATTTCCATGGTTTTGTCAATGACTTTTTTTAGCTTATTAAACATTTCAAACATAAACAAAACCAACAAAACCCGTATGTGTCTATCATTCGATTTCAACAATAACTCATGGAAAATTGTTTTGTCTATGCCCTGCTGCCACATTGTTTTAAAGCACATCCCACACATAATAGCATTTCATCCATCAATATATCAGTATGTATCTAAAAGATAAGGGTTATTTTTTAATATATAACCACAATACCATTATTACATTGCACCAATTAGTAATTCTTTAATGTAATAAAATATTTAATCATTATTTCACTTTCAAGTATCCTGAATGTCACAAAAACATTTTGATGTTCATTTAAATTCACAATGATGCCTATTGCAATAGTTTGTCTTTTCAGACTCTTTTAATCTATAGATACTCTTTCCATATATCCATCTACCTCCCACCTTCTCTCCTTCCCTCTTTTTTAAATTACAGCTTATTTGTTGAAGAAACTGAGTTGCTTGTACATTGAGTTCTTCACAGAGTAAACTTGCTGATTGCATCTATATGGTATAGTCATATATGTTATTTCTTCTGTATTTCTTATAAAATATTGGTTAGACTGATATACTTTTAAGTTTAAATATTTTAGCAAAATTGATTCTTAGATGATGGTGTGTCTTTACATCAGGAGGCATATAATATCTCATTTTTCTCTTTGTGATGGTAGCTGCCATTTATGTGCAAGGCGTAGATCTATGAATTAATTAGGGGCTGCAAAATTGGGATATTTTAATTCTATCATTCATCATAGATTAGCTGGAATATTTCTTTAAAGAGAAACTTCCCCTCAACTACTATTTTGTTACAATATGGTATAGTATACTTAGGAAAAGCAGACTGACGCTTAACATTTTAGCATCATTTATCAGTTTTTAATATAATGAATAGGTTCAGTAGCATCTTTCAATGATGAGCAATTAGTTTTGTGTTATTATAGATTCATGGATTTAAATAAATATGATGTGTTTTGATACATTTCTGCTATTGGGTTTATTAATGCTGAAATTGTGACAGCTCTGGCCAGTGGGAACCCCTTCTAGATAACTCTGAGTTGTTGTGACATAACCCTAGTGATTTTTGATGGTTTCCTTGCTATCCAGGAAGGCAGGATTATCCAAGCTTATCTTGTGCACTTTCAGTTTGTTTAACACTATTGAGTTTTACTGGCGTCTTTGAAAAGATAAAAATGACTATATATCGATGGACCTAATTCTGGAAACTCTGTTTTATTGATCTGTTTGTCCTTATGTAAATACAGTATTATCTTAATTACTGTAGGTTTATAATAAGTCTTGAAATTTGGCAGTTCGAGTTCTCCAACATATGTTATTCTTCTAGGTTGACTTAGTTATATGAAGGCCTTTGCATTTCCATAGAAATTTTCAAACCAGCTTTCCAATTTCTACAACACAGTCTGCTGGGATTTTATTTGGGTTTACCTTTCATTTCTTTTCTTTGCTGGGTAGGACCTCCAGGATGGTGTTGAGCAAAATGGTGATTGTGTACATCCTAATCTTGTTCTAAAACTTAAGGGAAAGGGATTGATATAAATTATAATATTGGCTCTAGACATTTGAGGATAGCTTTCATCAAAGAAAGGACACACCCTCATATCCTTAGTTTACTAAGAGGTCTTATCATGAATGGGTATTGAATTTTATCGTATTTTTTCCTGTATCTTTGAGATAATCTAAATCTTCTCCTATTTTCCCCTCTTTTTGTGGCGAACTACTTTAACTTATTTTTAAATGTTAAACCAACCCTGCATTCTTAGGATAAATCTCACTTATTCATGATGAATTATCTTTATTAGAAATTATTAGTTTCAGTTTATTTTTTAATAATTTTTATACCTTTATTCACAGGGAATATTGATTGAGATTTTCTTTTCTTATAACTTGTAATGATTTTGGTATTAGAGTGATCCTGGTCTTAAAATATAATTTGAGAGAGGTTTTCACTCCTCTTCAATTTTTTGGAAGAATTTGTGTAGAATTAGTGTAATTTCATCTTAGATATTTGGTATACTTTAGAAGTGAAGTCATTTGAGACTGGAGTTTGCTTTGTGGAACTGTTTTTAACTACATATTTAATTTCTTTAATAATTATGAGGATCTTCATATTATTTATCTATCCCTGAATGAGATTTGGTAGTTTGTGTTGTTCTAGGAATTTGTCCCTTGCATGTAATTTTTAAAAATTATTACCATACATTTTTTCATAGTATTCCTTTTTTATTATTTTTAGTAAATTTAGTATTAGTATAGTTTAGTATCTAAAAACTCAGTTGTACTGTTATCTAGAAATTTGTTTCTTCTCTTTTTCCTGATCTGGCTTATCACTTTTTGAACCCTTCAAAGATCCAGCTGTTAGTTTCATTCTCTCTGATTTTTCTATTTCTTTGATTTTTTACTGTTTTACCCTTCCCTTTGTTTTGCTTACTAAGTATTGACAAGATGTGGAAGAAATGAAATGTTGATACAATGTCGAATGATATATAAAATGGTAAAACCACTTTGGGAAACAGTGTGGCATTTCCCAAAAGTTAAATAAATACCTACCGTATGATCCAGTCTTTTTACTACTAGGTATTTACCCAATAGAAATGAAAAAATATGTCCATGCAAACAATTACACGTGAATGCTCATAAAGGTTTAGTTGCAAGAGGCCAAAAATAGAAGCAACCCAAACAGGTGAGTGGATAACAAATTGTGACATATCCATACAATGAATATTTCTCAGGAATTAAAAGAAACAAATTATTAATACATGCGACATTATGTTGAATGGAAGAAGCTAGGCCAAAAAAAATAAAAATAGAGAGAGAGAGAGAGTGTGTGTACATACTATATGATTCCATTCATACAAAATTAATTCAAGTTAATGTTGTGTGAGAGGTGGAAAGCGGTGTTGTCAAGGGATGGGTGGTGAGGGATAGATGAATTACAAAGGTGGGTGAGAAAACTTTGAGTGTATTGAAAATGTTATTTGGATTGTAGTGATGGTTTCACAGTTGTAGATATTTAAAATTGATAAAAACTTTCAATTTAAATAAGTACAGTTCATTGTACTTCAATTAGACTTCAATAAGTTTGTTTATAAAAACTACAATGTTTCTCTTTCTTTTACTTTTAGACCCTGCAGCAAATGCTATTCATCTGTCTCTAGGTGGTTCAAAGAATGTTGTCAAAAAATCAGCAGCTCCAGTTTTTCAGTCAGATGTATATGATAATGGTACTGAACAAAAGGTATAAAATTGTCTCAAACTTTTGTATGGTGATTATTAATTTACCTAGTTAATTTTCACTTCTGTGAACTCTCTTTCACTGCTAGCATGGTATTGATTTGGTAGAGATATTAGGGTCTATTCATGAGAACTGAGTTAAGTTACCTTTGTGCTAAACTCACTATGTAATTTAGCAGAAACTAATCCAAACAAGCCCTGTGCTAAGCCAGAAGGAAGGAAAATGGAGGAAACTGGGTCGCATAGAGTACAAAGATGAATAAGACATAATCACTTGAGGACTTGTTGTCTAACGTGCCCAACAGGCATAGTAAAATGTTACAATAAAATGAGAGTATGGAATGATAAATTTTATTTTGATTCTAAGCAATGCATCCATTAAGCATTGGATTGGATTGGATTGGGTTGGGTTGGATTGGGTTGGGTTGGGTTGAGTTGGGTTGGGTTGGGTTGAGTTGAGTTGGGTTGGGTTGGGTTGGGTTGGGTTGGATTGGATTGGATTTGGTTGAGTTGGGTTGGTTTGGGTTGGATTGGGTTGGGTTGGGTTGGGTTGGGTTGGGTTGGGTTGGGTTGGGTTGAATTATATTTCCCTAAGACAAATTGAATGACTCTAAACTTTTAGGACTAACCATTGAATGGATTCCATGCTTTAAACAAAAATGGAATAGTGGAAGAGGAACAAGTTTGGACATTGCTATATATTGAACTCAATTCCAGACTAGTTAAATTTCAGATCCTTGTGAAAGGTGTCTTAGGAGACAATCTTCAGGAGAGAGTTAGGGGGTAAAGGGAAAAATAAATCCGTATTTGGTTGATAGAAGGCAAAATCTTTTTCAGAAGTACAGTTACCAATGAGTGTTTTTTTCTTTAATGTTTTACCATGTAGAAGGATGGAGTGATAACTAAAAAATCAAGTACTTACAATGATAGAGGTAAGAAAATGAAAGATATTCATAATTATTTTGTTATTAAGTATATAATTATGGTTTCATCATAGTTTTTCAAGCTATTTGTTTTATCTAATTACAAAAATCATAGTTATTTTAGAAAATAAAGTGTGGTATAAAACTGTTTATGAATACAGATATTATAATTAGCCCAAATATTTGAGTGATTACTTGATGAGTATGGCTTTTGAAATTTGCAAACTGTGGAAAAGTTAGGGTACATGCTATGGCTATGTACAGTGATAAGTAGAGAAAGTTACTGACATTGTAGTTCAGTAGGTTACAGTAAAGAGATCTGTCCCCAAGAATGTCCCTATGAGAAACAATGCCATCAGTTCCCCATAGACAATACTTCCTGTTTCCCATATACCTTTGAATAGAATTAAGAACAATGACTTAAGTTTTATGTGCCTTGTTGGAGTTCTGGAAGTCACTAAAAAACTCTCATGTGTATCCTACATAAGCACATGAAAAATACCAGACTGTTGTGGTCAATGACCACCAAGAATTTAATATAAAATCAAATTCATCATCTTCCTGATCCTTCTATTTTATCCAGGAACTAAAAATGGGTTATTTTTGACTTCCTCTCTTGCGTCAGCATTCAAAAGCTGCTACTTTCTGTCTAATCTACCTTCTTAATTTATCTTGCCCTCTCCTCTTCTCCATGCTCACAGCTTCATCCTTTACTATTTCAGTACCCCTCCTCCAATCCCATTTTCCTTTTTTTAATCCACCACACATTTGCTGTAAAAGCAATCTCCCTAAAACACAGCTTTGGTTATTCCCCAATTCAAGCCGTTAGAGGTTTTCCGCTGTAGACTGAACAAAATGCAGTCAGTTAATTTTGGCCATGGTCTGTGGTCAGTTACAGGGATTAAGCTGGCATAATATTAAATAAATTAAGATCAGAGGTTAAGAATTTCAGACTTCTCCTTGAGAGGTGAACCAATGGAAATTTGTAGGTGTGGACATCAAAAAAGATCATGCTGTTCTTTTAGATACTTCCTTAGCTCAAATAAATCCTTTATTATGATAATCCAGTGATTGTGGCAGCTCAGCAGGTAGAATATGAGATCAATTCTATTCATTAATATTCACCCTTGTTCCAACAATATTATCATCTCACATTTAAAAGAATTTCTTTTTTCTCTAGGAGCTATGAACACCTCAGCTCAAGATTCAGTTCTTTCACCTTCAACTTCACCCACAAGAAATTTTCCCAGATGCTCACATTCTTCTATATGTCATACAAAAGATGAGGTATATAATATTTCTTTTGCCCCAAATGCAAACAGAATAAATGAGGTACCATCTTATGATCATCACTGATATATAAAAAAATTTCATTTATAAAGTGACCATACACAATAGCTTTATTCCTTGAAATTAATCATGCCTAATAATATTTTAATAGCCCTAGGATAGTCTTCCTAAATATAGGCTATGACATGGTAGTTCACAGTATGTACCTGCAGCCCTAAGAGGAAGTATCAAATTCGGTTTCTTTGATTGGGCTTTGACTAGTACTCATGGATTGTTCAGAGACAGCCAGACTATCACTCCCCATTCCCTTTTGACCTGTGATCAGTTACCTGCTGTTGGAAAGTTGCCAGCAATGATTCAGGGTACAGTTTCTGGATATAACATAATTTTTTCTCTATTGCTTGCCAATTTGTTTTATAAAAGTCAAAATCACATTTTCCATTCTATTAGTAGCACAGTATTGATTCAACTGTGTCTAAAAAGTTAACATGGTTTTAAATAGATTTTGATAAACTGGAAATTTACTAATTTCTTTCCAAATGAATTCTACTTGATTAGAGTAGAAAGTGTCCTCTACTGCAGTGGTCCCCAACCTTTTTAGCACCAGGGACCAGTGCTCCTATGAGAATCTAATGCCTGAAGATCTGAGGTGGAGCTGCTAGTGCTGGGAGTGGCTGTGAATAGAGATGAAACAGGCTGTCTAGCCTGCTGCTCACCTCTTGCTGTGTGGTGCAGTTCCTAACAAGCCATGGATGGGTACCAGTCTGTGGTCCAGGAGTTGGGGCCCCCTGCTTTAATGCATATTATATGCAGACTGAATTATGCATAACTCCTGAAATGTAGTATGTTTACCATAATATGCCTCTCTGTAGTAGAGTTTTATTATAAACATTTTACATTTCAGTGTTCTTATCAATATCCACATTAAGTATGCTGAGCCAGAAAAAGAATTTAACAACTTTGACATTTAATGTTCTCATATTTCCCAACAGATCTCATAGGCTATGTCCTTTATTAAAAACAAACAAATAAAAACAAAAAGAAAACTTTAAAAACAGTGTCTAAATTTTATTATTGACCTTTTTTGGGTAATGTGTGTATTATAAAATTTGCCATCCACATTGATCTCAAATGAGTTATCAAATGTCCGCAAATATCTAATTCGTTATGAGAAATAGCATTTTATTATGATAAGTATTCATCCTGTTTCTAACATGTTGTATACAGGCTACCATTGTTAGAAAATGTATTTCTGGTGGCCTATGATCACCTCTGGGAAGAAAAGAGAAGTCTATTGCACTGGATTTACCTCCCCGAACAGGTTGAGTTCTTGGACAACTCTAGAGAGCTATATCCCTATGTATTCAGAAAACCTGTTCTCTATCTTCCAGCTCTACTTAAACTTTTCTATGTTGTTTGCTTTGATTGAAAAAAAAAAAAAAACTATCCTTTTCTCCCATTGAGTTGATTAACTTCCTTACCAGTGAGTGCACTCCACAAATAGTTAATTTTAGAATACTGGTACATACAATTGTGCAGAAAAGAGTTAACATAGCAGGCTTGAGACTGCTGTCTTTAGAAGGTCCTGCTTGCAAAGTTGGCCTTTGGCTAGTGTTCGAGAACTTGGCTTAAAAAAAAAAAAACTATCCTTTTGTCCCATTGAGTTGATTAACTTCCTTACTAGTGAGTGCACTCCACAAATAGTTAATTTTAGAATACTGGTACATACAATTGTGCAGAAAAGAGTTAACATAGCAGGCTTGAGACTGCTGTCTTTAGAAGGTCCTGCTTGCAAAGTTGGCCTTTGGCTAGTGTTCGAGAACTTGGCTTTTCTAACATTCCCTAATGGATATGTAACTTTTTCTAACTGCATGGTTGGGGCAATATACCTAGACTCTGCAAACGACGTAATATTTGCTAAACATCTGATTTCCTTTTGGGAGGCTGAAGTTTTGGTATACACTAAGGTAGGGAATATCTTCATGACCAGCCTTCAATAAAAACCTTGAGTGCTAAGTTTCTAATAGATTTCCCCTGGCAGACATTGCACACATGTTTCTGCATTTCAAATTGCTGGAGATAAGAGCATGCTCAAGCACATCTTCTCACAGGAAGGAGAGAGCATAAGGAAGACTGTGCATGATTTTTCCAGACTCAGCCTGTATCTTTCCCCTTACTTATCCTACAGTGTGTCCTTTTATTGTAATGAATCTTAGATGTGAGTACAAATGTATTCTGAGTCCCATAAGACAACGAATCACCAAATGTGTGAATAGTCTTGTGGACCTCCTAGGATACAACTATGAAATTTTGAATTCTATAAATAATAGATGTAAATATAAATATCACAAAAAGTATGTATTTCTTAAAAATTTCATTTAAGGGAAGTTCTCAAAAATCTTAAATTTCTATATTTTATATATACATACACATACATATACACATATATACATATTATATATAATATATATAATAGTTGATATTCAAATTCTGAGAAAAAAATCCTTTGAATATGTTTGTTTTGTTTGAATTATACAGAAGGAGATACATAATGACTGCGGTGAAAGACAAAACAAGAAATCAAACTACCTCCATCAATCAGGTAAACATCAGCAACAGCTACTGAATAAATTATACAATCTTTTAACTCATTCTTTCAACTAACATTTATTGAGCTCCTGCTTCATGCCAGGTATGGTGATAAATATTGAACAAAGAAAACCCATGGTTCTTACCCAGGGATGTTACAGTGAAGTGAAGAGAGATAGTCATGCCAATAACGACAATCCAATATAAGTGCAACAAAGACAAAAGGTGTGCTTACAAATCAGAGCAAGTATAGAGAAGACGGCGCTTAGGTCTACCTAAGGTAGTCAGGGAAGCCTTTGTAGAATAGACATGCTTAAGACTTAAAGAATGGGAAAGAATTTTCTGTTTTAATGTAATTTGCTCTCTTTCTTTGAACACTGAACACCTTTCCATTTGTTTAGAAGGTGTTTTGAATATTGTTTCATAACATATATAATGGACACTACATATAAATATATGTGATATAGCAAATATATCAATTCTGTGCTTTAGTTTATTCCTAAGTAATTTATCATTTTTGCCATTTTTATAAAGTATTTTTCCATATTCGTATGTAGGTTTCTAATGCTAGAGAAACACTAAAAAGTTTTTTTATCTTGTATCTTACCTCACCAAGATTTTATTAAATTTAATGTTTTTGCTAATATCTTCTATTTTCTTGATAAACAATTACATGAGAATTAAAAAAAAAAAATTCCCCAATGTTGTACTCATTTTAATGTCTTGTCTCAATACAATTCCTAGAACTTCCAATATTAAGTGGCATAGTAGTTAACAATATGCCTGTTAAATTCTGGGTTTTACTTGAAATAGTTTGGTGTTTTGCCATTTAAAATAATATTCATTGTCATTATGGTAAATACATTCTAATATCTTCATAGTGTCTTTTTTTATCTTATTTGGAATTTTATGGCTGAAGATGAACTTTTGAATTTCATTTTATAAATGAAACTATATGAATTTTATGAAGTCTTTTCTAGTACCTATTAATAGACTATGATTTTTTTTCTCCTTTAATTTATACGGATAATATTGATAGCTTCCATCATATACTATCTTCCCATTTCAGAAATAAATTGTGCTTGTCGATATAATTTTTCATATTTTTCAAATTGAACTAAAACATATAATCAGAAAGACCACAAAATTATATACAGTTGAATGAATTATCATAAAGCAAAACACCCATGAGACCAGCACAATGATAGAAAAACAGAACCTTAGGAATCTCGCGGAATCCTTCACTGAACCCACTCCCATCAATATTCTCTCTCTCCTCCCCAAATACTATAATTAACTTGATTTCTAATATTATATTTAGTTTGCTTATTCATTTGTGTAAATGGGTAGTTCCTCACCATATTATTAAACAAATGCTACATTGTTTTAATTACAAAAACCTTTTAATAAATCTTAATATCCAGTAGAGTAAATCGCGTGTCTTGGTTATTCTCAGCCCTTTGCCTTTCCATGTAAATTTTAAAAAGAACTCGAGTTCCAAAAATATTCTTACTGGGATTTTTTATTAGAATGACTTTAATCAAGAGATCAATTTCAAGAGAATTGACAGCTTTAGAGGATGATGTCTTCCAAAGCAAGGACCTGGTATCTAAATTTCCTTTAATTTCTCTCAATAATGTTCATACTTTTCTGTCAAATATATTTCATTAGATTTATTTCAAATACATTTCATTGATTTTTTATATTTCAAATAGTATCTTTTAAAACTTCATTTATACTCATTAATGCTCTAATGAAATGCAACTAATTTTTCTGTATTAATCTGCAATGAGCTGACTTTAATTATTATTCTGAATATTTTATCTGCAGATTATTTTAGATTTTCTACATAAATAATAGTGTTTTCTATGAATGTCAGCTTTATTTCTTTCTTTTCAATCCTACACCTATTTTTTGACTTCTTAAACTGTCTAGGACCACCAGTGTGTGTTGAATAAGGCATTCTTTTCTTGTTCCCAATCTGAGAGAGAAAACAACATTTAGTAATTAGGAAGGATGCCTGCCAATTTTACTTTTAGGTCTCTCTTAACTTATTAAGGAAGTCTTCTTAAGTTCTTCACTTGCTAAGAGCTTTAATTATGAATGGATGTTTCATTTTGTTCAATTGGATTTTGTTTTTGTTTTATATCTATTGAGATGATTTAATGATTGTTCTCTTTTATTCTGTTAATTTTGTTGATTTTTAAAATACTGCTCTAAACTTTCATTACTTTAAATAATAATCATTTGATCATTATGTATGCTTTTTTAAATGTATCTGGATTCAATATGCCCATATTTTGTTTTGTATTTTTGTTTCTGCAGTGACGACAGCAACTGGCCTATAATTTTCATTTTTCATAATGTTTTTTTTTTTTTTTTTCCCACATAAAGGTTGTGCTATCCTCTAAGTATCTAACCTTAGGGAGAATATTGGGTTAATTTTTTGCTTAAAGGTTTTGTAGAATTTATTGGTCAAGTTATCTGGGTTAGGAGTTTTCTTTGTTAGGTAGCTTTTAATCACAATTTAAAAATTTTAAATATATGATTATTTAGTTGTTAGTTTTGATAAATTCTCTTTTTCTAGGAATTGACCAGTTTAAGTTTTCAAATGTATTATCATAAAATTATTCATAGTATCTCATTTTACATATATATTTCCTATACTAATATTTTAACATTTTAGTTAAAAACATTCAGAAAAATACAAAGTTTTGTATTCAATAAATAATCACAAAGCATATAAATCTATGTAACCTCAAATATGAACACCAATTATAAAATAATCCACACTGCAAAAGCCCCAATTCTTTCCCTTGGAAATCAAAATCTCCTACCTCCTTCTCGAGGTAATCATTCTCTTGATTTCTACTATAATAGATTAGTATTGCCTGTTTAAATGGAATTATTATATTTCTGCTGCTTCTCTCAATACTATATTTCTGAGATTCATCACTGTCTTTGTGTGTAGTTGTAATTCATTTTCACTATTTTGTTGTATAGTTTATGAACTATACAATAATTTATTCCACTGTTCATGAATATTTGGATTTTTCCAGATATGAGAAATTCTTTATGAACTTTCTAGTACATTTATGTGTGAGAGAGCTGGAGCGGGAAAGGGAGCGGGGGTGGGAAATCACTCTATGGATATGAGCCATTAGGTATGTACGTATGTGTTTAATTTTAATGGATAATGCTCAAGAATTTTCCAAAGGGGTCTCATCATAAACTTTTATCAGCTAAAGTTAGTGAGAGCTCTTATGATTTCGTATCTTTTTCAACACTTTGGTAGTTTAGTCTTTAATTTCTGCCATTCTGGTGAGTTGGTATCTCATTAGGTTTAAATTAACATTTTCTCTTATTAGTAGTGAAGTTGCACATATTTATTGGCTCTTTGGATGTTTATTTGAAGGTTTTAAGTCTCTTATCCACTTTTCTATCATATTGTGTCTCTGTTTTTTATCGATTTGTTAGCAAGTTTTGTTGTATTCTAAATAATGAATCCTTTGTTGGTATAGGGATGTGATTATATTCTCACTATATGCCTTTCTTTTTGTCTCTTTAATTGCGGATTTAGAAGAACCAGTTATCATTCAAATTATCTTTGATTTCTGATTAATTATCTATGTGTCCTGTGGAAGAATGTTTTTCTAGCCAATGTTAATAAAGATATTTCTTTTTTCTTCTATTTCTTTTGTGGGAAAACTTAAGTTATATCCTATTAGCAAATTCTAGTTATGCAATATAATATTATCAACTATAGTTACTATGTTATACATTAGATCCCCAGACTTTATTCATCTTATAACTAAAAGGTTGACCCTCTACCAGTTTCTCCGTATTTCTACATGCCCCCAGTCCCTGGCAACCACCTTTCTACTCTCTGTCTCTATGAATTGAACTTTTTTTTTTTAATTTGTCTTTGTCTGACTTATTTCAGTTAGCATAATGTCCTCCAGGTTCATCCATGTTGTCACTAATGAATTTCCTTCTATTTAAGGCTGAATAATATTCCAGTGTGTGTGTGTGTATACATGTATATATGTACATATATTACATTTTATTTATGCATTTATTTGTCAACAGGTACTTAAATTGTTTCTATACCTTTGTTACTGAGAATAATGCTGCAGTGAACATGGGAGTACATATATAACTTCAAGATAATGATTTTATTTCTTTTGGATATATACTCATAAGTGGAGTTGCTAGGTCATACAGTAGTTCTAGCTTTAATTTCCTGAGAGGGCTCCATACTGTTTTCCATTATACCAGTTTACATTCCCACCAACAGTGTATGAGGGTAACATTTTCTCCACATCTCCACCAGCATTTGTTATTTCTTGTCTTTTTTGATAATGGATATTCTAACAGGTGTGAAGTGATATCACATTGTTTTTTGATTTAGATTTCTCTAATTAGTGATGTTGAACATTTCGTCATGTACCTGTTGGCCATTTGTAGATTTAATTGAAAAATGGCTTTCCAGTTCTTCACTTAATTTTTTAATTGTATATTTTGGGTTTTGTTTTGTTTTCTTTCTTTCTTTTATTTTATTATTATTATTATTATTTTTTGCTATTAAGTTGTAACCTTGTGTATTTTAGATGTTAATAACTTGTCAGATATGTGGTTTGCAAATATTTTATCCTGTTCTATATGTTGTCTTTATATTTTATTGATACTTTTCATTGCTGTGCAAAAGCTTTTTAGTTTGAAGTAATCTCACTTGTTTATTTTTGCTTTTTGTGTGTGTCTTTGTTTTGATGTCAAATCCTGAAAATAATTGAGAAGATCCATGTTAGGGAGATAACACCCAAAGTTTTCTTTTAGGAGTTCTACAATCTACAATTTCAGATCTTATGTGTGAGTTTTTGATTCATTCTGAGTAGATTTTTGTGTATGGTGTAAGTTAGGGGTCCAGTTTCATTCTTTGGCATATGGCTTGTTCTCCAGTTTTCCCAAGACCATTTATTGAAGTAACTCTTTTCCCTATTGAATGTTCTTGGC